TGATAGAGGTGTGATATGAAGAAAAGATGTTAACAAGAAGAAGAAGAAGATAACTACCAAGAGTAAAACGTGGAACGTGAAAAAATAATTATGGTTAATTAAAATAAAATAAAAATTACTTAATTACATTATTATCCTTATTAAATTATTTATATATAATAAAAATTAATTTATTAATTAAAAAACTTTGAGGTTATTGGGTTGTTATCGTGTTCTCGTAAATCACAGGGGTTCTCGTTTGAACCTCTACCTATATATATATATATATATATATATAAAACTGGTTTCAATAAGAGATCTATGAATTATAAATTGAATGGTTGTTTTATAGAATACTAGAAGGGTGCTCGTATTAGATAGCGAGATATATTTCAATTTAATTGTTTTGTTTTATATATTTTAGAAACATAATTTTTTTTAAATATTAAACATTTATGTAAACTAAATTTCGTTTTATGTAGTTGAGAACGCCACCGATAGCATGCAAGGCCTATTAGCTCAGCTGGTTAGAGCGTCGTGCTAATAACGCGAAGGTCGCAGGTTCGAGACCTGCATGGGCCATTTTTTAATTTTTTTTCCATTTTGGGCTTCTACTTAGTTTTGGGCCCAAAGTTCTTCAATTTGGGTTTTCATCTACTTATGTCTTATATGATCCATCTTCAGATTTATTTATCGTCTTTTATTATTTTTTAGTTAGGCTAGGAAAAAAATATATAAAGTTTTATTACTGTTTAACTCGAAGGATTTTATATATATACTAGAATTATATTCATACAATGTATTGAAATACATCTTGATTTAAATATTTTGTTTTATTATTTATCTCGATCAATATTATAACATGATTTTATGTGATTTTAAAAAAAGTGACAATGTTTTTATATTTGAATAAAATATAAATTTGAATATATCATAAAAATTTGACAAAATTATATCGATATTAGTATTGAATTAACTATTTAAAATTTCTCATTTTTTTTTAATTTTTTAATTATAAATTATCTTAGATTCAATAATAAAGTAACTTATATTTGGTTTCCTAAATTTTTTTATAAATATAATAATTAATTATTTTGTTAGAATTCGATAACTATTCTAATTATGTTTTAGATTTTTTATATTTTAAAATAAAATGTTTATCTTTTATTTGATTATTTTATTCATAATTAATTATATGAATTCAATCATGAAACTTTAATAAATTGTATTTATACATAATTTATTTGTAATCTTGATTTTTAAGTAATATGTAATTAATACTTTTATAATATAATATAGATATGAATATAAGGAAGATTAATAATATATTTTATATATATGAATATGATGAAACCACGCAAATCTGGAAATCAACACAAAATTGAAACTTGTGAGTTCTAACACAACCATTTGCATACTGCAGTTTTTCTTCCACAATTTTCATGGAGTCTGCACATTAGATCTGTTATCCTCAGAAGATGCCCGATACTCCGAAGAATCCGATGAACGAAGATCGGCGATCATCTTAACGGCTTCGTCCATTGATGGCCGCATATCGGGGACTCTTGCCACACAAGCAAGTCCGATCTGAAGCATTTGGACCATCTCTTCTTCAACATGTGGGTACTTCATTAGTTCCTCATCAAACACCTCTGCGGTCCATTCTTCTCGAACCACCGATCGCACCCACCTCGGTAGATCAACCACCTCATCGTGGCCCGATGACGGTAGCGGAGATTTACCTGTCAGCAGCTCAAGAAGCAGGACTCCGAAGCTGTAAACATCTGATTTTTGGGTGAATTTTCGGGTTTCTATCACCTCTGGCGCGTAGTATCCTATACACCGTGGTTTTGTAGGAAGAAAATTCATCAACGGAGCTAAGCCCAGATCGGATACGCAGCCATCAAAGTCTGCGGTCAGAAGGATGTTTGAAGATTTGATGTTGCCATGGGTGAATCTTGCACCTCCTTCTGTGTGAATATGTGAAATCCCTTTCGCAGCTCCAAGTGATATCTTCACTCGTGTGTCCCAATCTAATGGAGTTCTTCCTATACCTCTAGTTCCTGTTGAAAAAGCACGGTGTTAGAAAAACTCGTTAGATTATAAAATAACTGAGTTGTACTAGATGGCAACTGATTGCCTACAACTCAGTGGACTACGTTAGGAAAACCGGGATGGATGGAGCTCTCTATACCGTGCAAGAGTGCAGACAGGCTGCCGGTTATGATGTATTCATAAACAAGAAGCTTTTCGTCCTTAGAATAGTAGTAAGCGCATAATGACACAATGTTCGGATGCCTTCCGATCCTCCCTACGAACTCCATATGCTGATCAAACTCTTTCTCAGCAACCCCAACCTCTCTTACTCGTTTCACTACCACCGTCGTCCCTTCATCCAGTATAGCTTTATAAGCTGTTCCATAGCTACCCTTACCAAGAACTTCAGCAGATGCCCTCAACAAATCCTCAAGATCGAAATTATAGGTACTTCCTTCAAAAAAAACCAATTTGTTCTTCTCAGCTGCTTGAACACCACTACCGAAGTCATCAGACTTTTCGTTTTTCCCAGGAGGAACAGCCTTTACGGTTAACTCACCGACAGAATCTCCGTCTTTCTTCTTCAAGAAGCAAAACAAGAATACTGCCAGTAAAAGCAGCAGTAAAAAGCCTCCTATGGCAATTGCTAGGATAGCACCGGTGCTGAGCTTCTTGTTATGTTTTTTTGGGTGTATCGGCATGGATGGGGAGTAATGTGGAGAAGGAGAAGGTGAAGAGGTCAAAGATGAGCATTGGTTTGATGGAAGACCACATGAAAAAGAATTCCCAGCAAATGATGAAGCTGGGAACTTCTGGAGGGAAGATGGGATTGAACCGTTGAGCAAGTTATAGCTAACATTTAAAAGCCGGAGCCTGGTGAGGTTAAAATCAGGAAGAAGTCCTGAAAAGGAGTTGAATTGGAGGTTCAGTGAGGTGAGATGGGTCAAATTCTTTAGTGTTTGAGGAATGTTTCCTGAGAAGGAGTTGAAGGAGAGATCTAAAATGCTTATTTGAGGAGAAAGTGAAGGAGGGATATTACCAGAGAAGTAGTTGTGTTGAAGGTAAAGAAACTGGAGAGAGGGAATGGAGGATATATCAAAAGGAAGAGTCCCATTGAGGAAATTAGATCTTAGGCTCAAGATTCTGAGAGCGTCTAGTTTTCCAATAGTGTTGGGAGGGATTGGACCGAATAGTCCAAGACCAGGGAGATGAATGGCAATAACTCTTGTTCCTTCATTGTTGCAAGTGATGCCAACCCAAGAAATACAGATAGGGATGGTAGAATTCCAGTTCAGTTTTCTAACGTGTGGAACTGCTGAAGCAAATTGAAGAAGAGCTTCGGAGTCAGAGGTCAGATCAGCAGTTGTAATAAGAAGATTGTGTAGTAGGAGGATAAAAGTGGCGACTGCTGCAAACTGGATTGGGTTTTTCATTGTGGATATGTGCGACTACAGAAATATGAACCTTTGATCTCAGTAGCTTTACTAATTCCTGGTTCAGTAAGAATTACTGAGCAGGAGCCTTTCTTGACCAGACACCTAGATGAAGAAACAAGAACATAAAGTTCTTTCAAATTGAATCATAAAGAAGCATTAACATTCTAATAGCTATCAGTAAGAGTAATTAGTTTATGCTAACTAGCAAGAAAAAGGGTGCAGAAAATGGTTAGTTACCTTCCAAGAACTGGACGATGGAAGCAACTAAACCAATAAATGAACTCAAGGGCAGAACCATAGAAGGTACAGCTTCAAACTTGGTAGAGGATGGTTTAAAGTTCTTAGCTTTTTCCATATGGGAAAAAGCAGAGGACAATTATTTAAGCTTTAGCTTTTCCAATAGAAAGTGCAAGCTTTAAATTTCAAGAATAAACAATTTTCAAAGAAATAAAGAATCATTACCATTGAACAATGATAAAGGCCATTGAAATGTTTGTCATCCATTCCACTATTTAAGTTGATTAAAGATTTCTAGGCGCTACACAAATTAACAAGCAAGCTAGAAATGTTAAGAACAAAATTATCACAACTGAAATTCTTAGAGGCAATAACAAATAATTTCTTTTAAGAAGTATATCAAAATAGAAGAGAACAGGTTAGTGACAGAGAGAATCTGAAACTTAAGGAAGGAGGAATCGCTGATAAAAAGAAAAAGCAAAAGTACACTCCTTTGTCCTGCAAAAGGTAGATAAATTCTTGGCTATAAAGCTGCAATAATATAATATTTATTCAAGAATCCAATGTAGTACCCTCTGTTTCAATAAAGGGGAAGTATACTTAAGAAGACATTACTATCCACATTGTATGATGAATTGCCTTCATCACTTCGATCATTGAAGATTAACACACCAGGACAAAAAGTGGACTAATCAGGCGTGCATGTTTCAATGGGGACCAAAATGCAAACAAAGTTGCAGACAGACAAAAAACTGGCATAATTTTATCATGTTCTGTGTTTTGTAAACTAATCGAGTGGTTGTATTTTATACTTATAATCATATTAATAGCATGAAAGCACCAACTCAGCGCATTCATTCTGCTACCTGCTAATGATCTAAAAAGATCAACACTGAAATGGAGGAGTAGAAAACTTTCCCTTATAATTATAGCCAGCTAGAATACTTGAATAACTCAAAAAGTTTGTCAGTGTGCCGTGTGCGTCATCATGGGTTCTATTACTATGTGACATTTTCAGCCCTCATTTGATCCATCCAATCAATTTATCAGGTCATCTATAGCAAGGATTCAGTAACTTTATTATGTATTTGTATAGCTACAAGTCAAGTAATTCGTATCGTCAGCAAGCATAGACGCTACTTTTACAATACCAAGTTCAGTACAGAGAGAAGAGAAGCCAATAGAGGTACAACAATTTATGCATATAGTACAACCAAGTAGGAGAGCACTGATATCTACAGTTTCTTTCAACAGAACTAGGGATCCCACAAATTGATTCTGATAACTCCCAACATCACATCATGCACACATGCATTGCTGGGATGTGAACAAATCAGAATCAAATCCTTGGGACCCACAAATTCGTTTAGGGTTTCGTTATTTTGTACCAGTCTCCTTGGATTGATTCTCCATTTTATGGGTATAGTTGGTCCTTCGCAGTCCAAGAAAAATCCCCCCTTTCATATAGTCTTGTTAATACATAACCTAAAAGTAATGATATGCAGAAAACTAGACCATCATGTACTATGAGAGTGTGTATTCATGATCCTTGTTCAGTCTACAACCTATGAGAATTCAACTGTTAAGTAATAACAATAACAATTACTAGGGCAAGTGTTGAAAGTTTATTACTAATTTTTGTATCTCTTGGACTTATCTGCAAGTAAATTCTGTTATATAGACAAGTATTTGTAGCATCATAAGAAACAAAATAAGCTAGTTCTTCTGATCTCGAAAACAACGAACAATGAGGATATCAATGACAATGACAATTACATATACATATACATCTCCGTAGGTTAGTATTGAGGTTAACATACTCTTAATCGTCTTATGTAAGCCATGGCTACTTTCAGTACTTCGTTCCTTGGATCAATCACAGATGTAAATCATATCAGATCTCCGTTATTAAGCCACAAATTGGTTGCTTCTTCTCTCTGTTTTTCTGGTCAGAAGTTGCAATTGGCAGCGGTTTCGACGGTGGTAGAGATGGGGGGAGGGGCGAAGTTTAAGGGAACGCATATGAGAGAGAAGAAGTTGACGGACATGATAGAAAACAAGGTGACGGAAGCGCAGGAGGTGTGTGCCGGCAATGAAGGCTCCGATGAGTGTAAGCTGGCATGGGATGAGGTGGAAGAGATTAGTCAGGTGAAAGCTCATCTCCGGGCGAAGTTAGAGCATGAAGAAGATCCTCTGGAATCGTTCTGCTCTGGAAATCCAGAAACCGGAGAGTGCAGAATTTACGACGATTGATCGGAGAAGAAGTTTAACAGCGACGGCGGCAATTCGTGTCTACTGATCTGTGTTGTAATTTGAATATCTTTAAAAATATATATATCGTATTTAATACATGGGAAAAGTTTATAAAAATTAACAAACAACTATCCTATTTTGAATCATTAATTTTAAATAATTAAATTTAATGATTTTTTCGTTTAACAAAAATAGTTTGGAGACTTAATATTTAAAATAAAAAAGTTTAATAATTTTTTTATTAAAAAATAATTCAGGTACTTAATCATTCAAAATAAGATAGTTTGTTGGGTTTTTTTAAATTTTTTACTAATATATATATATATATATATATATATATATAATCTTTTTTATTCTACAAGGTTTGCATATATCTAATACGATATTTAATTTTTCTTATCTTCCTATATTCTTATTTTTTGTTTATAGAATAACTTAATTTAAATTGTTTAATATTATTGACTTATTGAGTAACAACAAGAACATGACATACATATTTGTCGTTATAAGTTATGCCTTATAAAATGTTATGACCTCGCTTTAGAGCATCACCAATAGATCATAAGTCAAAATCTTAAAAAAAAATTCATCTTCAACAACTTCTCTATTTTAAAGATTTCAATGTTATTTATATTGTTAAAATATTCAATACATTTGATAAATATTGTTTATCCAACGCAGTTTAAATCAACATTTTTTTAACTATTAAAGTTTTTGTCTTCACATCCCGGTCTATTATCATGTCAAACATGGAACAAGTTTTTGTTCTGTTATATCCGATTTTACGTATCAAACGAACCCTAAACATGTCAACATTAGAGCATCTCCAATGCAAGGTTAAACTTAAAATGTAACTTCTTACAAGAACCAAAACTGTGAAAAGTTCTTACAAGAACCTCACGTTTTAAGTTCTTGTATAAGAACCTTATCTTGAAATCAGTGTGAAATGACTTTTTTGTTAAGTCTTTTTATATATTTGATTGCATTATAATTGTTATTTGATGTTGAAAAAAATACAACAAAACAAAACGGGTTTGCAAGCAAAAGTATAAAAAACGGTTTCTTATAAGAACCTCCATCGACATCGACAATGCTCTTAGTACAACACATTCTTGAATAGTCATATTAGTGCTTAATTCTGCCAGAAAGTTGTTCATATTCTCAGACAAACAAACAAATTTTGATAGCCAAATCTGTGATGCAGCCAACTTAGAAACTTATTTTTACCCATTTCTCCTAGTTGGGCAAACCTTTGGGATGCAAGAGTCTCTGTATTGCCAACATTCTTTCAATGCATCCTAAACAACATTCTTGACTGATTCAATTTGGCCTTTGTCCCAATTACAAGGGTATGAACAGCTCGATGTAAAACACGAAGAAAAACGCACCCAAAAAGGATCCCTATGAACCCTCTCTTTCAATCTTTTCAACTTCTTCACGATGTTTTCTCTCTGCCTCCGCGAGTTCTCTTTCAGCGTCTTCTTTGTCCTCTATTATATCGCGCGCTTCAAACTCCTTGGCTGCTGCCATTGCTTTCACAACAGGATCTCTTAGTTCTGATATCAACCCACCACCCACTCTATATTCTTCTTCGTCTCCAATCAGGAATAGACGCTGATCGGGTCCTGTTGCCATTGGAATGTCGACTGATAGCAATTTCATATCATACTGCAACAAGAGTAGACTGGAGTTAGAACGTGAACAACGAAATAGTGTATGACAACCACCACTACAAAAAAATTGGCTTTATAAGACATCAAATATGTCCAAGTGTCCTAATAGACTACCTTACAAGACTCAAGTTTATAGAAACGAAAGATCGTGCGCCATATGTCATATGTAAACGTGCCCTAACAAGTTTTCCATGACACTTTCGAAATAAAGTGTCCTGTTAGCTTTTTATGGGACACTTTGTTTTTATACATACTTGCTCAAGTCAAATTTCAAATAATGTCATACAAAAAGACTAATATGACGCTTTATTTCAAAAGTATCATAAAAATTTGTTAGAACATCCAAAAACGTCCTACCAATTTATTGTAACAGTAACACCTATATATAGAGCGCACAATTATTTGGTCTTATAAACCTGAGTTATGCAAAGCAGTCTATTAGGACATTTACACATATTTGATGTCCTATACAGCCAAATTTTGGTGTAGTGCACATTCTACATTCTGGGTATCATCTCTTATTCGAAGTCATAACTTAACATAAATACTTGAAGGCTTAGGGAAAAAAGAATCAAAGACATTAAGGCGTTAAACCAGAAAGCTGAAACACTAACCTTGCCCTTTTTGTTCTTGACCTCGACACTAACTAAGCCTTTCATCTCAGCACCACGAATTGGGAAAATAAGAAAACAACGCTTGCTCCTGAGGGCTGCTTTGAAGTTTTTTAGTGTTATACCGCCTCCTGACATAACATATGCTCTTAGATCGGTTCCAGTTAGCGGAGCACCCATGATTTCAAGAATGTCGGCTGATGTGTTGAGTTTTGTCATTGCCATTCGGTAAACCTTGTCAGGATTTATAGTGAATCTTGAACGGAGATACAAGCCCTTAACAACACAAACTGAGGTCAAATACAAGTCTTCATTACAAGATTAGTGAAATTATTGAATGGATTAACTATACAATTTCAGTTCGGAACAGGTAACAATAGGAGTTTATAACAAAATTTGCTCAGAAGCAAGCTATTGCATACCCCCTCCATCCAACATTAAGGGCCTGTTTGTTAGTAGCTTAATGGAACTTGCATAACTGTTTGGTAATGGCTTAATGATATAGAGAGTGGCTTATTCAGTAAGCTTCTAGATGAGAGCTTTATGCAGAAAGCCAAGTTTTTCCTTACCTGTCCCTCCCAATTAAAAAACATGCGCCTCCCACCAATGAAAAGACCCTCCCAAATAAAAACCTTCCCAATTGACACACGCAACTTTATCCATACAAAACCTAATGGAAAATCAACCAAACAGCCCAAGTGTCCCTCTTTCCTTCTCCGGATATCCCATGTTATTGGTTACTTTCTCTATACAGAAATTCCATAGTCATACTACCAGACTAACAAACAAATAAGATCAGAGAGTCCCCCCCCCCAAACCAAATGTGCACGACAACGAACATGTAAGGGTTATTTCATGAAGCAGGAACAAGGTATTAAACCTACTCATCATGCCAGTTTTAGAAGGCACACTTAAGTGTGAGATTGAGTGTTACCCTAGTTGCAATTTGCTTTGTGTTCTAAACTTCTAATCAAGCAAGATGAGGGAAATGCATGTGGTGTCCCTAAGGATAATACTCAAATATTTCATACATGAATAAGTGGATATTAGTGTACATACATATATAAACACAAGAAAAGGATGTTCATGGACTTTATAGTAAAAAGACGCATGAAAAGGACCTTGATGGAAACCCAAAGCGACAAGGCGGGATTTGTGTTTCTGAATGATAGCCTAACTTACTCCTAACACCAAAGAGGAAGGATATGTACACCTGGATAATATCAAAGACTTGGAGATGGAGAGATTCAAGGGATATGGTCCAGTCTTGGTGATTCTTATCATATAGAACATAAATGTCAAGAACCCTAGATTCTCCGTTTTCTTTCTCCATTTTAAGTCCCATTTTAGTTCTCATATTTAGATCCCTCGCACCATGAACAACATGACAAATGTTACATGTCTATTGGCCTAATTGAATAACATCAAATTCCTCAAGTTAAATCAGTACACTTGGTAATGGAAGACAAGCAATGTTGAGCTAAAGAACACAAGCCTCATTGTATTAAATAATATCGACAATTAACGGCATGGTTGATTGCAGGAATAGAAACGAAAGGAGAAACTCACAGCAAATGCGACGATAGCAGAGGAAAGAGCAAGAAAACCATACTTGGCAATACCCTCAGATAACCCAATAAAAGTATTTGCGATCCCAAACATAATCCTCCAAAGCAAGATACACACAAAAACCCCACCAGCACCCAACAACACCATGCTGTTTCTCCTCCAAAACGCCTCCATCTGCAGTCCAACAGCTTGCTTATACCTGGAAAACGCTTTCTTAACTGCTGTCGCGGGTTCTTTAACCTTACTCTTCAACAAATTCACGTCTAATTTACCACCCAGATTCGAACTCCCAGTAGAAATGTACCTGAACCCAATAAAGTTCCTAATCAAATTGGTTTGTGAGGGTTGTGAAACTCTCGAAATTGAAGAGGATGTGAAGTGAGTTGTTTGAGATGATCCAACCCCAGTAAGATTCCTGCTCAAATTGGCTTCCAAGGGTAGTTTCTGAGATGGGTTTTGGGAAATCTTTGAAATTGAAGACGACATGAAGTGGGGTCTGTGGGATAATGGACTCCATGGGTTACGATGTAGGATTTGAGAAATGGGAGTCGATGAAATTGGGGGTTTCGGTGGTGACAAGGGTGTTGAACGCTGCTGATAAAGAAACCTAAGGAAAATCAATTTGGAAGAAGAGGGTTTTGACATCTCTGACTGTAAAATTTAGATTCACGAAGAGCACAAACTCGAAGAGATCAAACGAAATCAAATCAAATCAAATTGGTTGATCGTTTGACCTTACTTAATTAGTCCACAGAGACGCTTGCTAGCTTATATATGATGCAACCTTGATTCGAAAGAGGAAGGAGGCAGCGGGTTGACTGTCACTGTGCCATTGAGATGTGATTTCTTGGAGGATCCGCTCAGAATCCGAATCCGAATCCAATCCGAGTATGTTGTTGAGTTGAGAGTTTTTTGGGCCTCCACCTTTGAGCCCAATTGAACGTTATCGGGTTTCGGCCCAAAATCCAGCCGGATTATCATGCCCACCGACTTCAATTATTCGAGATCCTCCTGCTGATCGGAACTCGGAAGAATCGATCACACACTTGAAAGTTGAAGATGAAGGTGATTCACATCCCTTGCTTGGAAGACAACTACTCTTACCTGTATGAACTTTGATTTTGATCATTCATTAAGTTGAGTAGTTAATCGTTTTCAATTTAGGGTTTTCCATACAAGCTACGGTTTGTGGGCATAATTGTGTGGTGATTTTCAGGGTGATTGATGAGAAAACGAAACAAGGAGCAGTAGTGGATCCAGTTGAGCCTGAGAAGGTTGTTGGAGTTGCTAAAGAAAATGGTGTTGACCTTAAGCTTGTCCTCACCACCCATCACCACTGGTTTGTTCACTTTCAATCCAAAATCTTATTGATGATTTGAAATGGAAAATTGACTCGTTTCTGCGGTTGAGTGCGATCAATTGGGTCATGGGTTTGATTATAGGTGCTGCATGTGTTGAGAAAAGAAATAAAACTTCGATTTGGTTGATACTGAAACAACTAGTTGCCTAATTGCAGTCCATGTGGTTGATGATTTGTGGATTTTAAGGATGCACTCTCTTTGTTTCAAAATTGTAGTCCAGATCACAAAGTACACAAGGAAGAAGGATAAATGTTATTATGACTTATGATTGTGAACTTGGGGTGATTGAGTCATTATTAAACACAAGAATGTCTTTGGAACTATAATTGGAATTCATGATCCCCCTTATGGAGGGTGACTGAATACTTCATTGATCTTTATATTGTTTTTTTCTTTATGTTCAATTTGATGATAGGGATCATGCTGGTGGCAATGAGAAGATAAAAGAGTTGGTACCAGGGATTAAAGTTTATGGAGGCTCTGTTGATAACGTAAAGGGGTGTACTAATAAGGTGGAAAACGGTGATAGACTATCGCTTGGGGATGATATTAACATACTCGCTCTCCATACACCATGGTATGTTTGGTTACTTTCCATAAATGTCATTTACCATGTCCCATTGTACATGCAGTTTGATAGAAGTGTTTTACTGTCAGTTAAATGTCAATCTTCAATAATGAGAAATTAGAGCAATCTTGTTGACCAAAAGCAATATCATTAATAATTTGTTACAATGATAATAGGGAAATATATACTTTTAGCTTGAAGTTCTTCCCAAAATGTAAAGGTTGCAATTTGTGGGTCATTGGGAAGTTTAAACTGTTGCAATTTCATGTTACTCTGGATTCCCATTTTCTACCCTTGTTGGATGTTATTTTTGTGGCCATGAAGCAACCATAATGTTTAAGGTAGACCTAGCTACTGCTTTATGAGTTAAGGTTATGCATCTTGTGGTTGACTTAGGTGCATGTTCAGGTTGTTATCTTTAAGCATGGGTGTTTCATGGGTATTCTTCTAATTACATGTTGCAATTCCAGTCATGATCTTTGTCTCATATTCTGGTATTAACATTTTGATGTGGTTTGGTGCTTTTTCAGCCACACTAAAGGACACATAAGTTACTATTTGACTGGGAAAGAAGAAGAGGACCCTGCTGTGTTCACAGGGGACACACTGGTGGGTGCATCTCTCAGAGTTCTTACAGAAGTTGGCTTAATCATATATCAGACTGGGGTTTCCCATCTAGAAATGAATGCCAATCCTTGTTATCGTCAGCTATTTAGTGGTTTAGACAGCAATAATTACAGTTTACTGGGTGGTCAATGTGCCCATCTTTTCAGATAGTTTGTACTAGTAGAGAAGAAATCGAGTTAAATGACTAGACTTGTGTAGCAATGCATTTTAAGATTAAGATTTTGCCTAAGATAGTATGCTTTGTCAATTCTGGTGGAATTTTTTTCGTTAGGTTTATGGTACATAGTAGGTTACATCGGTGGTGCTGAAAGCTCATCATTTTATCTTTTAATTTGTAGTTTGTTGCTGGTTGTGGCAAGTTTTTTGAGGGCACAGCAGAGCAGATGTATCAGTCACTGTGTGTGACTTTGGCTTCTCTACCGAAACCAACTCGAGTTTACTGTGGCCATGAGGTAAACTTATATTATGATTTTTGAATGTGCAGATGTTGTTTTCGTATTTGGCAGTTTAGGTATTTAATAAGACATCAAATACTTTTTTGCTTCTTCTTTGGGTTTTACTTCAATATGTTTACAGTCCTCTAATCTCAATGACATGGTTGTAATTGAGAATTGAGAATCGAGAACTAACTATTTAGATTCATGGGTTCCTGCACTCTGCATTTGTTTTTTCTTCTTTTAGGTTTGCTTATTTGGCAAAATAATTGTGAAATTCAAGCTAAAGACCTCTAGGTTATTTTAAGTTAATTCCAACCATTTGAGTAAGTTCATCTTGGCTTCATCCAAATTCGCAAGCAGATCAACTATGCACACAGGTTGAAAACACGAGGGCTCAAACCATTAATTTGAATTCTTTTCTGATTCAATTGTGGATATAACATCCACAACATACCAACTACAGTTGACCTTCGTCCATACCTTGTCTCTCTCCCCCTTCATCCATGTGTCTTCGGATTAGGCACATTTGCTATGGTTCCTAAAAGATTTGCTTTCTTAACAACTATTTCCAGCAAATATGAGTGTTCATGTCCAACTTCTGAACATGCAAATAGAAATACAAAGACGAAGTTTCCTGCAGATAGCAGACAATTATGAAGTAATATCTTTAAAGCTTTAAATGATCCATCAGCTCATAAAGCTTGTCATAATACTGTTGGACCTCCATGAAATCCATAAAGAAAACTGTCCAGAACATTTGAATTTTTTTGATTTGTTCATCTTAACAATTACATCCCTTCTTGTTCAAGGAATAGAAATAATAATGGATTAACATGGCCACAAGCTTCCCAATCAATGTGATCCCAAACAGTAAAGACTGCCTTAAGCTTTAAAAATGTCAGTCTTTCCTACTTCGATCTTTTCCTTGATAATTACTAGAGAAATGCCAAAAGAGCTCCAAGAACTGTAACTTCGGTTCTTGCATTTGGAATACAGATGTCTCAAGTCTTTTACGTCTTCTCTCTGGCCAAGAGATCAAAATCCTTTGCATGAGGTATTGATATCATCTCTAGGTTCACCTAGCCTCTAAGAGGTTATACGCTTACGGATTGTTTACATCTGCCAGATCTCCTTGAGAGTATGTTGACCATGGTTTATAAAATAATATCCATTTTTGGAGTTGATTCTTCTACTTTCTTTCTTTTGACCACATTAATATTTTTGTTGCTTTCTCAGTATACAGTGAAGAATTTGCAGTTTGCTCAAACAGTTGAACCAGACAATGCCAAGATATCACAAAAGTTATCATGGGCTCAGCAGCAGAGGCAATCAGGGCTTCCAACTATCCCATCAACCATTCAAGAGGAATTAGAAAGCAATCCTTTCATGCGGGCTGATCTACCTGAAGTTCAGGTCTTATCCTGTTCCTTGAACCAATCTCTACTTTCACACGAGTTTGAAAAGTCAAAAAGGCAGAACAAAAAACAATGCTGATGAGTGTGAAGGGTCACAAACATTTAAAGCCGCAATGCAATCAATCTGTTCTAATCATAAATAATATACTTCTACGTTCATGAACGTATACAACATGCCTAATTTTGATATAAAAATGATCATAAATTGAAACAGAAAGGTCTCATTTTGACTCCATCTTATTGATGAGGTGAAATTTCCAATTATGATGCAGGAGAGGGTTGGATGCAAGTCCCCTGTTGAAGCATTGCGGGAGATAAGACAGCGAAAGGATAATTGGAGAGGGTAATCACCTAATTTCCAACTAAACTTCTCTCTGGTTTCCTGTTGCATCTATTTCTTGCATGTTTTCTGTGTACATTGTCTGTAATAATGTATCACATTAGAAGTGTCTGTCGTTGACTTATAATGTAATGCAAGTCTTGTTCTTGCTGCCGAAACTTGGTTTGCCACAGGAATACCTGATATGTCAAAAATCACTCTAGTTGGTGAATCTTTGGGGTTATATTCCACTATTCTGGTTTACTACAAGTCCATCTAATCTCCTCATTCGATGATTAATAGGATTTCTGATCCCCGCCTTTAAGACGATGAATCCCTTGGCTGAGATTTAGTTATGAACCCATATGGGAGTTGGGTGATCAAATCTGAGATATGGGTTATGAAGAATGAGAGTTTCTAAGAAGATACCATACTTGGTTTTGCAGATAAATCTTTATCTTGTTGGTGGTGGGAGACTGATGTGATATTTTATTTATGAAACCCTAAAAGGAGTCAAATTGGGAATTAGGGTTCTAAAGAATGGGAGTGTGTGTAAAAGAACCTTACAGATGTTAGGTTCTCTTGATTTTATACATTGCTTGATGTGAAGGGAAGAGTGTGTCTGCTTTATATGCTGTCTGTATCTTTTTTTGGTGTTCAATTAAAGAAATCAGATGCTTCATCAACACAATCATATTAATACAATGTTTATTTCCATTTGTTAACAATTCACTTTTGAAAAGTCAAATAGGTTGTTTATGGGAAATCAATCAAATTCACTTTTTAGAATCTCTTTCCAAAATGGTTATTATGCATTTGCGTAAAGACTGATTTCTGGAAGGAAAAAAAGTCAGCTCAAGGATTCTTTATGCAAAACTTTGAATCCTTACGTAAAAACCCTTTTTCTTCTTTTGGTTAATTTCCTTGGTTTTATGTACATAACTATTTATATTAAAATCAAGTCAAATCATACATTCAAAATGTGAAAGGTAAATTCTGATGTTGATGTGTATATAGTTAGAGTTAGCAATGTATAAGATAGAAACATCAGTTGTTTTTGTTGTAGATCAGACGTAACAACAGATATAACTACGGTCATACACCACAAACATCGTTATCTTATAACAATATTAGTAATATTTATTTGGTCGATTCTCGTATATTATATGTTCTGTTCGGTTTGGTTTGGTTATGCATCATGTTTATGGATGAACTGATACAAATTAAACAAGAAATAGAAAAACCTTTAAGGAGGTGTTTGGGATTGCTTATTTGAAACAACTTATGCTTTTCTATAAAAATACTTATCAATTTATTATAAGTCAAAAGAGTTTAAATTATTCAAAAACTTCTTATTATCGGTTTGACACCAGTATAAGTTGTTTATTCAAACAATCGAAAGTGCTTATTACCATAAGTCAATAAATTGTTTTTATAAACAATCCTAAATATGATTACTTCTTCTTGAAGGCTTAAAAATGATATCAAAAGAAGCAATGGAGAATCTTGATATGATGGCAAAGTGTCAACATAATTACAATAAAAAGCAATAATTACCCCCATAATTAGTATTTGTTGCAAATACACACCAACAATCAATTTCCACCCACTTTCTTGTCATTATCATGACTTGTTTGTAACAAAAAAAGTTGAAGTCAATGAAAGAAAAAAGTTGTAGAAATTGAAGGGGTCAAAACTTGCATCCCAAGAATTTGGTGGAAGAAATGAAAAGTCCGACCCTTTGTCGGTGGTCTAAGGCCAATACATAAAACATTCAGATCCCTCATCTTTTATGAAATCGACAACATACACCCTATACTTATCATAATTTCATTTTGGCCCCTTACTTCACTTCAATTTTGATCAAATTTAATGTAAATGACAATAATTTCAAAGCTAAGGGTATAAAAGTAAATTCAGATAGTAAAACGCGTCTGCTGTCTTGTCCTCAGATGGCTTTCAAGCTGGCGACTTCACTGTTTGGACTTTGGAGAGAGCGATTGAATTTCTTTTTTTATTTTTATTTTTCTAAATAAAAATAAAAATTTCTTTCCAAGAAAAATCTTCCCCAATTTGCAGCGATCGCACGTTACTCCATTTTTAATGCAAATTCAATCCTTTTCCAATTTACTGCTTCTTTTCCTTCCACATTGCTGAATCCAATTTGGAAATTTTCATTTCGATTCCAAACAAAACCAAGAAAACCCTAGAATTTGATTCTGGAATTCTGTTTGTAACGTTATTGGAAGCCATTTCTTCCCCCTTTCTCCGTTTATTGACTCATTATATACATAAAATCATATATATATATATATATACACATCAAGATCGCTATCTAACCCTTGTTACCTCCGACCCATTTGACCTTTTTATCTTTGTGTTCTTCTTGATCATTGTAATTATTATTATTTCTTGCCAAGAGTTTGGGAATCTTGTAGGTGTTTTGAAGATTTTCTTGATTTGGACGTGTAATCAGAGACGGGGTTATATGCGTCGATTAATGGAAACAACAGGTGTTAACGTTGATCCCACCAGTTCCGATACCCATGTGAGTAACAATCCAAATTCATCAAATCCTCCATCGCCGACGATAAGGAGGACAACCAGTAGCAGTTTGTCGCCGAGGACGATGTCGTCTTCTCCGTTTCCGATAATCCGGTTCCTACAAGCGCCTGTTACTACTATAATCGAATACTCGGGTGTTCTTCGACCTAGGTCGAACAACGATTATCATGAATCAGAAACCCTAATTTCTAATCATCACCATCATGATCATAACTCGACTGGTTCCGGTCGTACGGCTAGTAATACCAGTAGTAATGGTGATGATAGTAATGGGGAGGTTTCGATTCGGATAATTGGTGGTCCAGACCAAGAAGAGGAACGTGGTGGTGAGGATGGTGAACCGGCTGCCGTGAACCGTGGAGATGGTGGTGGAGAAAGAGAGATGGCTGATTCCGGTGAGGTAGCTGGTGGTAATAGTGGGAGTAATAATAACGTGGACTCAGCATATCAACAGCGGTATGATTTGCAGCAGGTTTCAAGATGGATTGAACAGATTCTTCCATTTTCTTTGCTCTTGTTGATTGTTTTCATTCGTCAACACTTACAAGGTACTCTTACTTCACTTTATCTTTTGAACTATCATGAGATCTTGTATTAACTGTTTCTTTTTTGTGTGATCATACGTAGGACTCTTTGTTACAATCTATATAACTGCTTTCATGTATAAATCGAATGATATTCTACGAAAGCAGACCGCTTTAAAGGTATTTATGCCATTTCCATTTTCTTGTTTTGGTATTAAATACATGTAGAAATGTAAACGTTGTCTATTGTTGAGCATATTGATTGATGATTTCTGCAGGGGGAGAGAAAACTATCTGTTCTTGCTGGCTATTGTATAGTTTTCATGCTTCATGTGATTGGAGTTTACTGGTGGTACCAAAATGATGATCTTTGCTTACCGTTGTTTATGGTTCCGCCAAAAGCAATACCACCATTCTGGCATGCTATATTCACCATCATTGTAAATGGTATGCATTTTACGACCTCTTCTTTAGGGATGTGATGTACATACTGCACTTATTATTGTTTTCTTCTCTCTTTAGCCAATGTTATTGAAATCTGAGTACACTTTTGAATGGTTTGTAGTCTTTTCAATGTATGTTTTGTGGGTATTTAAGAAATCTGTATATATCTCTTTGTTAGCAACAGAACCTCAGTGCCCCTAATGATAGCGCCTTCTATCAGACTCTGCCCTCCTAGTTGTTTCTTGATTGCCCCCATCAAACGAAGGTTCTAAACTTTGATTGAAGTTTGATTTTTAAGATGAGGTCATGTTTCCAAAGATCTAAAGACTTTATGTCTAGGGTTGTTGGAATTGTATGGAATATAATGTTAGGGTGAAGCAAAAACAACAGATAATTTTCATGTGTCACCCAGAAACAGAAAATGAGAAACTGAAATTATAAGAGAGTTTACTTAGATGATGCTCATTGAAATTGCAGATACGATGGTGCGGCAGGCAGCAATGGGTTTTAAGTTGGTATTGCTTATGTACTATAAGAATGGAAGGGGCCATAGTTTTCGTAGGCAGGGTCAAATGCTGACTCTAGTTGAGTACACACTTTTGTTATACCGAGCATTCTTACCTGCTCCAGTCTGGTACCGGTTCTTTTTGAACAAAGAATATGGCAGCCTCTTTTCATCTTTGACAACAGGCCTCTATTTAACGCTAAAGCTCACCTCAGTTGTCGAGAAGGTATATGACTCCTTCTTTCTACCTTTAACTCATCATGGATCCTTCTACCTATGCCGCGAGTGAATTAATTTTCTTTCATTTCTCAGATTGGATCCTTCTACACTGCATTGAAGGCACTATCAAGAAAGGAGGTCAACTATGGAACTTATGCAACACCAGAACAGGTATTTTCTTGCAATTTTCCTAGGACTTAATGTTTTATTCCGTTTTATCGAACTTGTTTTTTTGACGACAAGCAGGTGAGTGAGGCCGGAGACTTGTGTGCTATTTGCCAAGAAAAGATGCAGGCTCCAATCTTGTTGCGCTGTAAACATATTTTCTGTGAAGATTGTGTTTCAGAATGGTTAGTTTTCTTTAATGGCTTGTTAAACAAATATGCATTATGAAATACTGAATTGCTGATGATGAAATGGTAGGTTTGAAAGAGAAAGAACTTGCCCGTTATGCAGAGCGTTGGTGAGACCAGCGGATATACGATCATTTGGGGATGGTTCAACGAGTTTGTTCTTCCAGTTGTTCTAGTCTGGGTATGCAGACCGTGTGCTTCCTTCAACGTATACTCTTCGTTAAACGTTATTATGAGTAGAATGAGTCATTTTTTGGTAATCTTTTTCCCCTCAAATTGTACAGCACTTGTGCCTCAATATATTGATACACATTACATACATACATTATATAATACATGAGAGAGGATTCTTTAATACCATCTGGAAATAACACCAAGTGTATAGAGATGATTATATTTCTTCATCAGGTGCAACTATATGAAGAGTAAATTACATGTTTGGTCCCTATGGTTTGCCAAAAAAATCCAGATTAGGTCCTTAATTTGAAGAAAATTACGAAATTGGCCCTTGTGGTTTGCATTTTGGTTATTGATTTGAATGGAGTGTGATTTGATAACTTTTTGGATAAAAAAATGTAGGTAACCAATTTTTGAAAGTTCGATGATTTGTTTTTTTCAAAAAGAATATTCAAGGATCTAATCATTCAAAATAAGAAAGTTCAATGGCATATCATTTAAAAAAGATCGGACTTAAATGAGATGATGTTAGTACCAACCCAATCCAAAACAAAACGCAAACCATGGAAACCCAATTTCATAATTAATACGTTTTTGGGACCTAACCCATAATTTTTCGCAAACCATAGGAACCAAACATGTAATTTACTCCTGTATTAAACGAAACTGAACCAGATTTTTGCATTATCATCGTTTCTTAATGTTTAAAAAAACAAAACGAGGTTGAAAACAGTTCTCGACCTTATAACTATCGTTCAGTAAGTAGAATGTTATACGAAAAACTTTCTACGACTTTTGTCATCTCTCATCAAGTATGAATAGAAACTTTACTCTAAATAATTTTGAACCTCCACGCTCTTTAACACTAGATTTTGAGTCCCACCTACCATTTCACCAACAAATGGACCCAATAGAAGAAAGTGAGTTACAACGAATATTCCAAAATGCTAATACACGTGAAAGTTATTAAGTTGGTAACATTCGGTTTCTATAAGTGGTCTATGAAAGTCCGATCCATAACCAAACAATTCTAAAATTTCTTTGACTGGTCGGACTCAAGTGCTCCTATTTAAACCACGCGTAACCAGTTCTATACTGACCCGATTCTTTTTAACCCATCTATAGCTATACATACAAGTTTTGAATATATATATATATATATATATATATATATATATATACTAGAAGCATACTCGCGCAATGCAGCGAGATACATCATGATTTTAATATTTCATTTTATTCTTTATCTCAGTCGAT